CCCGAAACATTAACTCTGATGTTTTCTTCACAGATGCTGCCAGACCTGCTGAGCTTTTCCAAAGACACTGGTCTTTCTGCTTATACAGATACACAGTTTCATAAGCCTATGATCAACTTGTCAAACGTATATGGCTGGCTGGAACGGCACTGTGCTGCAATGGCATCTACAGAAGTGAAAGGCATTTTAACAGAAAATGCAGAAAATAAATTCCTATTTGTATTTGCCCATTTGTTGGCTTTGTCATCACAACAATAAAGAGGAAATTGAACTCTTAGTTTGCCAGATATGCATTTCTTTTCCCTTTAATGCATGGACGTGATTTTTTTTTTTAAAGCATTCACTGATTTATTTGCAATTTAAGATGCAGCTTCACTATTTCTGGCATCACATCAATACAAACTAGGTACTTTAATGTGGTGTAAAGTCAGACAAAGCACATTTAAGCAATGAGAACGGGACCACCAGGTTAGTGAATCACATGATTCACAGCTTTACACTTACTACAATAAAACTGCTCCAATGGCAAAATAAAAGCTAATATAACACTGGGATTGAAGTTAATAATTTGTGTATTAAATTACAATATTCTATAGCATCAAAGGCAAAAAATGAATTACAAGAGCAGAAAAATAAACACTATTTAATTGTAAATCAAATTTCACATTCATTTTGGTGTTTGTGGGTTTCAATTTTTTATCTTTTACACAGCTAGGATTGAAAGCATGGAAATAAGTTGCATGGAAAATGTATTCAGCCTTCTGGGTGGTTCTCTGAAACCTACAATAAATAGCCACTTGCCCCTTCCCAGTCATTAGTCAAATGATGGAAGAGAAAGCAATCTCTGCAATACCAATAGCTTTTGATGAATGTTTGTGTTCTGCTCAAAATGCTTAGCTCAAGAACTCATCAAATGCAAACATGAATATGTTCTGAATGTCAGAGAAAAGGTGAAAGTGGCTGCCTTGAACAGCAAAGCAGTATTTGACTAAGGCAACGAGGAATCTAGCAAAACCAAGGTCAAAGTAGGGATGGGGGTTAAGTGGAAACCTCTCAAATCATTAGGATTATACTTGGCACAAACGAATTTGGTTGAAATTACTGAAGGCCAATTTTCACAGGTCGAGTCATTGTTGTAGGAGTTCTTCAGGATAGAATCCATGTAGCAACATTCCTCAGCTGCAATGTCAAAGAGCTTCCTGGCATCATGAGGCCAGAAGTAGATCAATTCTACAATATCCAATAACAACCACAATGTCTTTAATAATGCAGGAAAATAAGTGAGTATTGGCTGGCCTTTGGTTGTACTATTTGATCCATAATTGCTTGAAAATAACTAACTCCAAGAAAAGACCCAACCACACTCGCACTTCAGTTGCCTGGTGTCATCTACAAACACTCTGAAGTCAGGTTTATTTTTATAATTCTTCAAATGTGGAAATAAGTGGTGAGGCCAGGAATTATCATCAAGCCTTGGTAGTTGCAAGCCTTCAGACTGTGCAGCATTGTAACAACGTTAGCAGAGCATTTCTCCTACAAGATGAACTGCAGCAACTCACTGAAGCATGTTCAATCGCACCTTCCTAACCAGTGATGTCTGCCACCTAGAAAGATATAGGCAGCAGGTGCATGGGAACACAATGACTTGCAAGATCCTCTCCAAGACTCACATCACCCCAACTTGGAAATATATGTTCATTCCTTCATTGTTGCTGTGTTAAAATCCTGCAACTCCCTCCCTAACAGCACTCTGGGTGTACCTAAATACCAAGGACTGTAGTAGTTTAAGAAGGTAGCACACCACCACATTCCCAAAGGCAATTAGGGATGTGCAATAACTGCTGGTCTAAAACTTGGTCAAAATCCTGAACACTTTTTCTGACACCTCTGGGACATAACGGCACCATAAGTATAGCAGCACTTCAAGAAAGTGGCTCACCTCACAAGGCCAATTAGGAGACAGAAACAAATGCTAGCCTCACCAATGATACATTTCATGAATGAATTTAAAAATCAGAGAAATGCTCCCTCTGATCTGGTGAAACAATGCACCCTTGTCTCCAACCTCAAAACAACCACTGACTGCACACTATAACATTTTTCACTCCAATTAACCTGTAAGATTGTCAACCCAATGCTAATATGTACGGAATTCTTGGCTGTTTTGCACTGTCGATATATAGCTACAATGGACTAAGTTCAGCCAGATTTTAAAAGACAGAAATACAAAGGAGATCCACCACTAATAATGGAGTTAATTGGTGTTTTTATTTAAGCAGCGGTAATTATAATTTTGATGAAAAATGTGGTTTAACAGTAATATCATCAAAAATGTAATTATTTCAAATTACCATGTTCCATTTTGAAGAAAGCAGAAGGAAATATTAACTGCCTAATCAAAAATCATCTTCACAGACAAATAAAATAGCAAATAACTTACCAACTGCATCTAGGTCATAAACAAACTACATTCGATAATTGAGCAGACATGAGTCATTATTAGGAATTCAAGGAGTTACATCCTTACATGAAAGACTGCAATGACATGAGAGGCAGTTGCAACAGTTACTTGCAGATTTATTTACGTTGAATAGCTCATCCATTTTCTAACACACTTTGCCTGTATCCATGACTCATACTCTCAGAGCAGCAAAATAATAACTAAGACTTTCAGGCTGTGTTGGGTGCTGCAATCATTATCTTAATCTTTCACCCCTCATAAATACATTTCTGAAATCTCAAAAAATGAATGGAGTGGTCTTAGCACTGTAATTTTATCAGCAGGAATACAATTCAAACATGACTGATTACTTTTCACACTCCACTTAGGCGATGGCAATAAGTAATTGAATCAAATGAAGGAAAAGATAGAAGTAATAAAACCAGAAAAATGATACTCATTAACCTTTTTGCTTACTTAATTACGATTCCAACTGAATGTACATTGCCAAACAAATTTTTTTATTATTAGACCTATGCTGCTAACACAATGCCAGAAAATAAAAATGCTGAAACGGAGACTGCAGGAGTACATGGAATGCACTGTAGTCCTTTCTAGTGATAAAATCATCTCAGTCCAAAGGAACTGTTGCAGGAGATCTACATGGTAGCATCCAAGGCCCATACAACTTCAGTTGCTTTATCAATGACTTTTCCTCCATTATAGGGTCGGAAGTGGGAATGTTCACTGATGATCACACTATGTTCAGCATCATTCATGATCCTCAGGCACAAGTAGCTTGTGTTCATATGCAGTAAGACCTGGATAACATTCAGGTTTGAGCTGATAAGTAGCAAGTCACATTTGTACTAGACAAATGACTGCCCACAATAATAAGGAATCTTATCATCATTTCCTGACATTGAATGGCATAACACCCAATAAATCTACCACTATCAATATCCTGGGGTTACCACTGGCCAGAAACTGGACCAGTCAGATAAATCTGTTGCTACAAGAGCAAGTCAGATGCTTAGAATCTGACAGCAAGTAACTCATCTCCTAACATCCCACTAGCTGTCCACCAGCCACAAGGCTTAAGTCAGGAGTTTGGTGGAACAGTCCGCTGTTGCCTGGATGAGTGCGGCTTTAACAATGCACAAGCAGCTCAAGGACAAGTAGCTGGCACTCTGCACATCACCACTCTCTCACACTTCACCACTTGCTCGCTTCATCGACAATGTGCACCACAATGACCTAAGGTTTCTCTGATGGCACTTTCCAAATACGAAATCTCTATCATCTAGAGGGTTAAGGGAACCGGATGAATGAAAACCTGCAAATTTCCCCACCAAGTCACGCATTCTGACTCGAAACTATTTTGCAATTTCTTCATTGTCACTGGAACAAATTCCCTCCTGGATTGCACTACGGGTGGCCCTACACCCCAAAGAATACCATGGTTTAAGCAGGCAGCTCATCACCAGCTTCTCAGAGTGAGAACTGACTCCTGGCTTAGCATCATACAAATAAATATTTAAAACTGAATGTTTTAAGTTGGGATCTACTCAACCTCATTGTTTTAAAACTAAGAATTATTCATGAACTTATGTGACAAAAGTATTATATTTCAAACAAAGAGTATATGACGCTACCTGAAAATACCAGCATTATATTCACTGATGCCAGAAAATTAACATTCAAATTTGCA